CATAAATTTTGCTGATGATATAGTAGCCTTAACAACCCACGAAGAACTAGCACCAGCAAGAAGCAGTCCTTAAAGTTCTCTAAACAAAATCTTAAACCGAAACTTGGGATTACTACTAGAGAGACGGGTAAAATGCTTCTATGGACAGTTATACACTTCAACACAAAAACCTGTTGATGATTATGATATTTTTTTAAGCATTAAACTGCTAGATTTCACGTTTCAGGCGGGATTTGAACGCGCAGCTTCTGCTATCCAGGTGAATGAACTAATCATACTATTGATGATTTGGCTAAATACCCCAGAGCCAAGTTAACCCGACATCATACCGATACCGTCACAATATACCAGATTAATATTGCTCTTAAACTACTGCATAACAGCAACGCGCCAGACGATGCTGGAATCACAGCAGAACTCCTGAAATCGAGCGATAAATCATAATAGGTTAGACGACTTCCATCCTCCCGAACAATCCAGATTCCGGATAGGTTTCAGCACCATAGACCACTTCCAAACGCCACGGCAGGTTATACAAAACACTGATGGATAAATATAACCTGCCCCTATGCTAAGCGTTTGTGGACTCATAGTCCACGTAAGCCTTTGACTCAGTTTTAAGCGTCATACTCAGTATGGGCTGTGTTGAGATGTTTACAGAGGTGCCAAAAAGACTATCGCTATATCCAAGTGCTGAAGAGTTTGAATGAAAACGCTACATGACAGACGAGAACTAGCCAAATACAGCGAGGAGACAGAGAGATGTAATCTGCTCGAAACTGTTAACCGCTGCGTTGGAGGATTTCTTTAAGCTTCTGGAATGGAATGGACTTGGAATCAACGTTAAAGGCGAGTAAATTACTCACCTTCGATTTACTGCTGATATAGTCTTTATGGCAGACACTTTAGAGGTTCACAATACAATGCACAGCCTCTTAACAGGTGGCCCTTAAAATTAACATTAGTAAGACGCAAATTATGTCTAGCGCTCATGTTGTAAGTGAAGTGTATTAAAAAGAAGAAAAGTGTATTAATTTATTTAGTTTTAACTTTACAAATAATTGAAAAACAGTAGAATAAAGTTATTCTACATATGACAATTTTGATATGTCTTATTTTTTGTTAAGAATTGGTAATATTTATTTAGAATTAACAATCATAACAGCGTATTTATTACTAACAATAATGTAATAATTGATGTCGCCAACAGCCATTTTATGTTGCTATCACTGGCATGGCACTGGTTTTCGACTGAACTTACTGGCATTAAAAAGAACTCAGAAAGGATTGGGCAAGAAAAGATCCAGATTTGATGCTTTGTGTAAATCGTATCTGTTCTGAATTTGACACCTATACAGCAAAAATTTGCTAGGAAGAAAAGCAGAGAAAGTATTTGAATATGGTATTCAAAAAAAAAGAATGTGATATTCATTCAGAAGAGGAAATAATTGACGAATCTTAAGCAGATAATTACGAATTAGTTGATTCTTTAGATTTGAAATTACTATCACCCCCAGAAGTTTTGTTTATACCAAGATCTCCGGATATTCCCAGCTCATCACAGGTATTAACTCTGTCTGCAATACTTTCTGCACGTATAACAAGATCCACTGTTAAATATTGTCGTTCCTTCGAGCGAACTTCACCAAATACTTCAATATCAGTCTTTCAATATTTTTTTCATATTAATATATATGGCTTATAATCCACGTTATAAAAAATATACATTAATATGAAAAAAATCCTCAGAAAATTGTATTTCATTTCTTCTATTCGTTAAAATTTTTGCAGATATTTTTAAATAATGTGAAAAAAGTGTAAATACAAAAGTCGCCCGGCCTAAGTATCACACTTTGGGTATCGGCAGATTTCCAAAATTTGACATCCCTGCGTTGGTCTTACAAGTAAAAGATATAACAATTAGAGTCAACGGCCTGAGGAGACCATTTTATACGCGTTGTAGGTGGCGTTGTGCTGAAATTTGTGCCAGTAAGCAGGGCGTAAACCGGCATCGTCATCGGCGCAGTGCCGGCGCCGGGCGCCGGTGAGTAAAAATCAGCCAATATTTTTCACTTTTTTACGATTTTTAAATTAGCCCTGGTCTAATAAGCTACTGTGCATTTTGCAAACTTTCTCCATTTTGTCCAAAATGTGCTACAGAGCTCAAAGTGAGATTAAATTTTGGCCAGATGAATCAGTCGAAGAATGAAATTTCGTAGAACTACCCTGCTGCTCTAGTTTAAAGTCTGCTTAGAACTATAAGAGTAAACTGTTTTTAATTAAAAAAAGACATGCGACTAAGGAGGTGTATGTTTTTTTGGACATGAAAAAATCAAATTTCCCGTAGTCGTTTTGTGCCTGTGGGCCAATCGCCTAACCAGATTGCTTTGGAAAACGCTATCGCTTACGATTTCATTTTGTTATTTTTAAACGCCGAAGGTTTTCAAATACCTTACGCTCATTTTCTTTAACATTGTTATTACCAATGCAAAAGAAAAAAAAAGAGCGCGAGGCATTTGAAAACCTCAGGCGGCTAGAAATAACAAAATGAAATCGTAAGCGATAGCGTTTTCCAAAGCAATCCAGTTAGGCGATTGGCCCCCTGGAAGAATCATATCATCATAAAATATCAGGAAACTAAGTTATGGCGGAGGAGCTCGATGGCGCAAGTGGTTAGCGCGTTCGGCTGCGATTGTTGAACTTAAGCAACTTTCGCAGTGGTCGGTCATTGGATGGGTGACCAAAAATTACTATCTCGAGCTCCTCCGTGCTTCGGAAGGCACGTTAAGCCGTTGGTCCCGGCTGCATCTGCAGTCGTTAGCACCCGCCAATCCGCACTGGGCCCGCGTGGTGGGTCATGGCCCAATCTCCCTATTCCATCCATAGGGAAGGCCTGTGCCCCAGCAGTGGGGACATTAATAGGCTGATGATGATGATGATGAAGTTATGGCATTGAACTCTACTTTTATATTAACTAATTTCAGTATATTTCAGCGAATCGGCGTCCTATACTAATTTGCATACTTAACTATAGCAGCATAATAAGAAGCTGATATGATATGCTACCAATACACAAGCGCCTAATTGACTTCCGTCGTCGGCATGCATTTACCTATACTTATATTGTTGTTAGGTTAAAGTGAGGTATTACAAGATTAAGAAACCCTGATAGTAGTTATTTCGTTAGTTTTACTTTGTTAACGGCAATGTGCGTGCACCCCAGTATTTAAGCCAAATGCTACATAGTCGGAAACATCTATAATGAAATCTTCTTTGGAGGTCATGCAAGGTGAGAAAGCTACCTTGATTATTCAGTAGTTTTTTCATTGTGTTCATATGTTGCTAAAATCGAGTCTAAAAATCCATAGTTACTAATATTGTAAATGCGAAAGTGTGTCTGTCTGTCTTTCTGATACCTCTCCACGCTTAAATCGCTGAATGGATTTACATGAAATTAGATTTAGAATTAATTTAAATTGACAGATATTAGTTTTAGTCCCGCGAAAGGACATATAATAGTTTTTAGGCTAAAAATCACCTTTTAAGGGTGGTGAAAGTATGTATGGTTTTCCTCTCACTGTTTAACTCACAGGCACCTACTAGTTGTAGATATAACTGAATGTAAACATCTACTTTCTCAACAATAATATAAACAGAATTCATAAATATCAAAGCCACTAAAAACAATGTTTTTATACCCGATTTTTAATTACTTGATACTCAAATATAAAAAAAACGACCCGTATATTTAAGTTGCCGTTCCGTCAGATTTACATGATGTATGATTTTCGTTGAAATTGCATCAATCAATCAACTAGACATTCTCGCTATGTAACTAGTCAACCACATATCGAGTTCTCCAAAACTGACAGAGTTCTTCAACTGCAAACTTCCTAAAATTAAGAAGTTTATAATCTATTGAAAAAAATATGAGTTTGTGGTAACTTGATGTGTGGATATCACTAAAAATATGAAAATTGACAAGTTGGTAGTAGAACTGTTTTGTAGAAGAGGGCGTGGTGGATGAAAAAAACTTGTCGTTCCTTTTAACATTTCCTTTATTTATATACCAGACCATATGTTCTGTTCAATCATACGAAATAACTACCACAATAGATACAATAAACAGTTCCATTTTCGGGATCGTAGCTACCGCCGTATCTGCCGTATCAATTATACGGGGCCCCCGGGCCAAAGGCCCCCAACGTGCGTAAGCAAAAATTAATAAAAACCCCAAACTTTTTTAAAACTTCTCAAACGTCAAAATGAGTTTTCACAAGATGAGTGAATTTCAGACCAGGAATCCTATTTAAAGTCAATATATATTATTGCTGTTCACATATATTAATTTGTAAAACTAAACAAAGATTGCAGAGCCTTTGCGACCTGAGTATTATGTTCGAAATATTACAACCAGAGAAACTCCTGCCTTATTCAAGCGAAGAGATATTCAACGCTTCCGGAAAACTGTCGGTTAAATACAGTAAAGACATCTCAGTTAATCCTTATGACCAATTAAAGGATTTAAAACCATGCTGAAAATCTGAAATTCAAAAAGTTCATTACATTAAGGAACTCATTGAATTATTGCTGATAAAATTCAATAGTCTTGCATCCAGTTTTCCGGAGGTAATAATAACAGCATGCTTTTTATTTCTAGTTACAACCGCAACAGCTAAAAGAAGTTTTTCAAAATAAAAACTTTTAAAAAAATAATTAAGAACTTTGATGGGACATGAACTGTCAGACTCACTATTGTCTATAGAGGCAAGGACTTTAGAAAAACTAAAACCATCATCAGCTATAAATGATTTAATAAATCAGTACGAAAAAAAGGCAACGAAAGTGTATATTTAATTTGAATTGTTTGTAAAAATTTTGGAAAACGAGACAGATAGATAATTATGATGAATAAATATTTCTTTTAATTTTATGCAAACATTTTTTTTTCTTTTGTGAGAATACGTCCTTCCTACGAGCCCCCAAACAATTTTTATACGGGGCCCCGCAAAGGCAGGCTACGCCACTGCCCATTATACACGTTTTGTATAAAATTATACGATCTGGTAGCCATGGAACGGCCCTGGATAAATCAAGGAACCAAGAAGTGCTTGTTTTAAACATGCATCGTTGTAGAACACTGTTAGTCTAATTAGTCCAGTGCCTAAGGCCCGTATTTACAGATCGCTTAGACTACGATCTTAAGATACTCTTTTCATATAAAACAGCATATCAAAATCGTACTTAAAATCGCTATCAGTCATTAGTTGCGATATGAGGGTCGTTAAGTACCCTTAAATATGGCTGAGCAAAGCGATGGCTGGTTCATGCGTCATGCTCGTGAACGGGTGCTGCCAGCGGGGATGAGTCAGCTCTATACTGCGTAACTTTCGAGAGGTTATCTATTACACCTAATATGAACACTGTTTGTACTTATGCTGTATGACACAGCAATCAAAATGTGAGTGGACGTTGTATTGGTAGCGGCTTGTTTTTTTTTAAATGCAACATTTAACAACAAACAACAAGCTTATGGGTTTCTTGCGCCCTTTCTCATCAGCTAAGAGATGTCCTAAATAGTAGGACAAAATATTGTACGATTTAAAAGAGCTTTCAATAAGTCAATTTGAATAAAGAATAATTTCATTTCATTTTGAGATAACTAAAGGTAAATTTGATGATATGCCCTTATAGTCTTATATTTGTTTCAATACCAGTGATTTAGAAATTTTAAACGTACACATCAATACATAAAGTTTATATTTCACACAATGGTTTCCCTTCGTTGAGTAGCTTAGCCCATTCCAGCACGTTGTTTATTCTTATATGCGGGTTTTCGTTCTTCACTGTAAAAAAATGATAAATTTACGATAAAATAGTCCTCAATTCCAAGTAGCAAATTTTGTAGCTACTTGGAATTGAGGAATATTTTTTTTGTAGTACAAATATACAAAATAATTTATTTCGAAACTAGAAAACAAACATTATTGTGTTATTTGTTGCAGCCATCTTTTAGATATGAAATAAAGCCACAGGCTTTAAAAATATTGTGTTAAGAAAATTCAAAATAATCATCGTGGGCCTAATACGAATTAATGTGCCCAGAAACACTGGTAGGAGACGGGGGAAAAGAAGATGAGAAGAGAAAGAAAGAGGAAGAAGTAAGAGATCAAAGGAAATGGAGAAGAAAATTTAGTACGAAGAAAATAGGTAACAGGTATTTTAGAAATGGTGACTTTCTGAGAAGGTTTGTCTGGGCATATCCAAACTCGGGATAATGGGGCCCTCCCCCGCGTGGGAAATGGGGCCCTCCCCCCTCTCTCAAATAGTAAATCAAATCAATATATAGGTCAGTAACGAATGCATTTTACCGCCCATCGCAGCGTGCCACCCGTGCCATGGCCCTTTTTAAATACCTGAGTAAATACTGCTTATACAGAGCGTACCACAGCATTATCACACGGAGGGAAAGTATTTAAAATATTGAAGATAGGATAGGATATTTTACCGAAAGAAGACATCATTTTATTTTTAATACTAAATAGCAATTACAGATTTTTTAGAAATCGCCAGGCAAAAAAAGAACACATGACGCATTTTATGATAACCGTCGAAAGGGTTTATTATAAGTATTTGTTTTTTCTAAAGAACATAGCATTTTAAGTGAGAGGAATATCTTCCCACTTTGACCTTCCTACACACTGAACCGATTTAACTGATATTTGCGTTTGCGTTTAGTATCTGTATAATATAGGGAGAAAACAAACAGCCCTTGCTGAGTTCAGGCGCGGATTCTTCTCAGTACAAGGACTCCTGCGGTAGTTTTGCGAAACGATGGCATAGCTTTTCGTCTTTCACAAGTGTTTGTAACAGCCTAAACTGATAACCGATATTGCGTTTTATGTTTGTATACCTACTAATATAAAAAGTATATTCAAGGTTAATAACTTTATTTTCCATAAATATCTTATCGCACTGTGATAAATTGACAAATCTAAGTGCAATTTAATTAAAAATTGTTTACTAAACGACTGATGCGACATGATAGATAGGAAATGTAAGTATCCAAAAATCAGTGTTTTTTATAAATTTTAGGATTCCGTAGTCCACAAAGACCCCTACAGTTCCTCCACATCTTTTTATCCGTTACGTATACGTTGAAAAAGTAATAAAAAATTGTGTGTGTCAGCTCCGACGCACGACTGGAGTTTACTCCTTAATTTCGATAGTCTAACCAGACCAGGCGCGGTCCGAAGGGGGGGGGGGGGGGGGGTCACAGGGGACATGACCCCCCCCCCCCCCCCCCAAATCTAAGGTCATTCTTGACATTTGGTACAAAGTAACGTATTATAGTACAGATAAAGAAAAAATTGCGAAAACCGTGAATTTTAGTTTTTTAGTTATATCATAATATAATAAAAAATATTTTTGAAAATTCAGGTGTGTACGGAACCCTCGGTACGCGAGTTCGACTCGCTCTTGGCCGGTTTTTTTTATTAGTGTAATGAGTGAGCCCTCCAAAATTTCAGGCTGCGACCGCTCCTGAACCAGACGCAAAAAGAGTTTATTTAACTTAAAAAAGAATGATACTGTATGAAAGGGTAAATTAACAAATTAATGAAAATAATATACATATATAAATATATATTTATTCATTTCATATACATTTAGTATAACTAATCGACGAAATATTTTACATTAAACTTTTTACAATAGTCAATTTCAGATGAGCATAAATATATCATTAGGAATGTTGATAAATTATGTAATTATTATTATCAGACTATTATCATTTTTTTAAATATTAATTAAATCAACATTGTCTGCATTTTTAATTACAGTGACAAGTGGTTTATGGTAATTAAAATAAGACACATGGACGTTCGTAGATACGTGGTTCACGTATCTTGAAAATACCGCATCAATGGTTGTACCATACCTCGTTGTCCCCATTGCTCTATCAGAAACAATATCTAAATTCAGTTCAGATTTTTAAAAAAATATTAATGTCAATCCGTCATCTTTGTTTGTCAAAGTTGCGCGACATAGGATGCGCACCAAAAACGTAACGAGGTCATTCATCGATAGATTTTACTCCTCATCATACCGGGCCCCTTATATATGCAAATCGATTCTTAAGGAGTAAACTCCAATATCTTAGATGAGAGAAAGAAATGGGTATCTCACTCACTTGGGTAATAATTGAATTCAAGTTCGATCTGAATAATTCTGTTATCGCCTACGAGCTTTATTTTTCTTTACTATGTACTACCCTCAGTACGACCCGCCAGTCCACAAACAGTTTAGACTCTAAATTTAGAGCGTAGTAAAACAGGGGGGGGATACCTCCTACTCATATATTTTAGAAAATAAGAGAACATTGACGATGTTATCCTAGATAACTAGGGGGTAAAAATATTAGGGCGGGCGGGATCGGCGATAACAGGATAATTCAGATCGAACTTCACTTAGGTAAGTTCTGTTTGGTCTGTTATATGGGGAAATTTATTATTAGCATGTGACTGATTATACTTTTAATATACTTTGCTAAAATGTCAGTAAATTTACCAAATAAAAAAAATCGTTGGTCAATGTTGTTAATTTTCACGGCATATTCCAATCACTTCAAAACTTGTCTTTCATTTAACCACAATAAAGTTCAAGTAATAATAAACTAACTTTTTCTGATTTCTTTCACATTTAACTGTTTCGTAACTACCATCTCAGGTTCGAGTGGTCTAGAGGCTCCAGACGGAGGAGACTACCCCCCGCGGGGAGATGACCCGCCTGGAATACCTCTAGGGGCGCTCGCCAATTCTCGGCTTGAGGTCCCTTTAGGATCTCGCCGTCCCCAAACCCGGTGACGCTGTAAAGGTCATCTGCGACCAACAGCAAACCTACACACTCAAAAAAAAAAACCTGGCGCGGGAGCACAAAGAAATGAGCATCGAACCGACGAGCAGCGGCGGTAGGGCGTGGTGGAGAGGGGATACCTCTTACTTTTTTACAACGCTCTAACTAAACTGTGTGCGGACTGGCTGGTCGTACTGAGGGTACTACAAAGTAAAAATAAATCTAGGAGGCGATAACAGGAGAATTGGTATCATAATATTTGCACTAAATGTTTACGAAATGGAGTTTTGACTTTTGGCAATACCGGGCCCAGAGGCTCTGTATAAGTTAAGGATTTGTGCCTTATGTTAGGCGGTGCGCGATCCGCACCATAGGCGATGAGGAAGTGACTAAACACCTCGAACCTCTTCAATTACGCCGTGACGATGACGTGGCGTCATTAAGCGCGTTCTATCGTATATACCAGGGCAAGTATTCTGAGGAGTTATTCCCCCTTATTACACCTTTCTCTTTCCTTCGGAGGACCACATGCGCTGGCCTACGTTGTCACCACTAACTGTGGCTACTATTCCAACGTTAACAAAGAAATTTGGTGACTCATTTCTTTGTCGCACTATTCGCTAATGGTGCCCGCTCACGCGTTCCCTCCCTCCCTGGGTTTATTTAAAAGAGGCGTGAAGAAGCATCATGTAGGCCGGCAGAGTAAGGATGACTGGTGAGGCAGGTAGAACTGCTGTACCAGCAGTCTTCGCGTCTGGACTCCACCGTCACTTAAAATCAGGTGGGGCGGAACCATTCATCAGACCTATCTATTAAAAAAAACACATTACGTGCCCGCCACACACTTGACCGGTGTTTATCTGTTAAGATTTATTAAAATATCTTTATGCCAATTAATAAAATTGTCCTCGTAGATTGTGGACCGCCTTCGATGCAAATTAATGTGCACCCGTACATCGATTTGCATTGAAGGCCGTCCAACGCTTTGGTGCACATGTACTTTAGCTTAAAACAAAAATTTTGACCGGTAATTCTTAAAAATCCCTTAGGGGGGAGTTATGTCGTCATAATTTTTTTGTATTTTATATAAAGCGCCATTAACACGATGCAAGTTTCTTGCCCTTTGAATTCAATCAAATTTAAGCAATAAATGACTTGCATGGTCTAAACAGAAGTTACATATAACATTCTTGATGTTGTATACTAGTTTTGCTTTAAAACGTTTCTTAGTGTAAACAGCACATACAATACTATCTTAAGTAATTCTTGTTTTCAACTCTTGTATTCCATTCTTCATTTGCAAAGATGGGTCTGCCGTAAGTGATGGTGTGTTAATCGTTGCTGCTCTTCTGAGCCAATAAATATTGAGAAAACGTCGTAAAAAAGAATTCATTAAATTATACCAAAAAAGTTTGGACTTGTAAACATTAGGATGAGCTCGCCTCGCCTTTTCAACCTATACATGAATCGCCTAATCGGTGAGCACAGCAATACACATACAGATTGTTATGTTGATGGAGTTTGCTTGAACAATATATACAATATAGACGTTGTGGTGCTGCTGAATCCATCGATTGGTGGTCTAAGAAGACTTATAGCTCTATCTGTGAGTCCTATGCGATGGCTCATGGGTTCAAGTACAATGTGAAATAAAATGAGCTCATGATATTTAAATCGCACTTCATTAATTACTCGGATGTCCCTGGAGTGTCACTTTGTGGTAGTTCTTTAAGCTGGGTGAACAAGTTTAAGTACTTGAGTCATTGGGTCACTGAGGATCTCAAGGACAACATCGACATACAGTGAGAGTGTAGGTCGCTGGCTGTGTGATGTAATATGCTGGCCCGAAGATTTGCACGGTGTACGGATGCAGTAAAGGTCACTCTTTTTAAGACTTACTACCAATCATTCTATACGTGCAGTCTTTGGATCAACTATACGCAGCGGGCATACAGCGAACTGCGTATCCAGTATAAGAACGCCTTCAGGATACTGTTGAGACTTGCGTGGAGTTGCAGCGCGTCAAAAATGTTTGCGGAGGCGCATACGGACGACTTCTATGCCATTATAAGAAAGAGGTCCGCTTCCATGCTCACTAGGCTCCGCTCTAGTACTGCTTCCTGAAAGTATTTAATGACCGGTGGGACACTCCTCTGCTACGACACTAGGTGAAGCTCCATATCCTATAGTAATATTTTATGTAATTCTTTATTATACTAAGATATTTATAAGTAAATGAAATGTAACTAACACTATGGAACCTAGTTCTAAAATAAATGATTTGAATTGAATTGAATTGAATTGAATTATGAGTACCGGAACGGTGCCCATGGTATCTTTTTCCTATCCGCATGGTCTGCGTCCTTAATTTTTTTTATTGGAACAAAGTTCCTTTTCGGTCAGTCAGATCAGTGTGGATTGGTGAGTAGGATACCATTTTTATGGAATAGGGAGTTTGAGCCATGACTGCGGCCAGTGCGGATTAGTGGGTTATATAAATATTATTTATCACATCTATCCCAAGACTGTTCTCTATTTATAGTAATCAACATAGCGTTTTAATCCCTAGGGAACAAAATAGTTTTTAATTCCTAGAGACAAAAATAGCGTTTTGATTCCTAGGGCCAAAGATAGCGTTTTAATCCCAAAAAAAAAGTAAGAAGAAATATAAACGCGCGTAATATATTTCGTCTTCGTTCATCTGATTCGAAATTATTGTAATTAAATTTTGTGTTGTTTTTTATTATTAATATTTGTTTAATTACTTAGATCACACTTCACTTTTTCATGTACCATTGCACCGTACAAAATATGGGAACCATTCTATCCTAACGCGCGTGTCACACTTATACAATTCAAAATTTAAAGGCATAGATATATTTTTCGGATCAAAACAGAAATTTAAAAATGATTTGAGGTTGACACTTTACCCCCCCATCCCCCGTCCCCAAATAAATATATAACAAATACCCTTGTGATGTTGATTGCAGATACATGAATGTTTTTAGACTCGTGCCCAATTAGTGATTTTTCTCGGGTAATATCAAGTTTTCATTCCTTTCGCCCGCTTTGTTTCATTACCTAAGATTGAAGACTATTTCATCAATGTTTTTTTTTCTTTATATGTTTTCTTTTTGGTAAATAAGGTTTACTTATGTTATTCAGCTGTGTACATTTTTGCTGGCCTTTGGCTGTTTAATGTATCTTTACAAATAAAATAAATAAAAAAAAATGACAATTTGTTTAATAAATGATGGTGGTATGATATAAATGTTATAATAATATCAACTTAATATTGTTTATATACCTTAGAAAAAGGTGAAAATGAAGTGATACATGAAATATTAAAGTAACTGTTACACCTTTAATAGAACCTTCTAACCTTCATTTTACAACTAAATAATCTGAATCCGAAATCAGAATCTGTTTATTAGGTACTCAAATTCGGAATTAAAAAAAATATGTCTTCTTATTAGAGAGAATGAAAATATGCTAAAAAATTGAAACAGTCTTTTATCAACAAAATCCTACACTAGATTCAATAAACACTCTCGCCTTTTTAATTATTATTTTCTCCCTTAGTAAATAATCTCCTTTTAACTTCGCTCAACCGAGTGTTCCACGACACTCACGCATTTTTTGTTTATTATTCTTTAGTTCCAAATCCATCAACTCCAAATTCCATTTTCATTCCAGCAAATTAAATCAGCAGAACCAAATTTGAATACTTTTTGGCTCATATAAACCCAGATCTTAAACGTTCAACACTTGAATGAAATATTCGCCGATACGTGCAATTCTTGAAGCGATGTCCGCGTGTAAACAGTTGCTTACAATTCTTGAAAGTCAATCATTGCCCCTCGTTAATTGGATGCAATTATTGCTCTTGTATGTACCAGAAAAAATCATCATGTTAATGGCGCTTTACAACAATTGTATTGGTGTAAGTAAACTAAATACATTTGCAATTCTTTTTTGTCAAAACTGGCATTCAATAATTGTATGCAATCTTTTCACTATGTGCGCATCTAAACAGTTGCTTACAGTTCTTGAAAGGCATTATCGCCTCATTAATTGCATGCAACAATGCTCTTGTATGTACAAGAAAATTGCATTGTGTAAATGGCGCTTAAGAGCGAAAATTCACTAATCCGACATATTTGGCCAAAATTGAGTTCGACTTCGATATATCATCGAAATAACGAATTTTTTCTTTGTATTTCAACCTTTACAGTTATATAACTAAAAGTTTTGATTTGAGATAATACAAACGCAGATTGCAATTAATCACTAACTTATTTTTTGCCCTAATTTAACACATTATCTATGTTGAGTTAATTAGTTTCCCCTTTACAAATAAATCATAACAGGAGCATACTTGACCAAAGCGAAAACAATAAAAATGTACCTACTTAATAGTTTTAGAATAGTGTCGATACTGACATGATTCTCTAAACTTAAAACTAAATTTAACATCATTCTCTCCTTTTCATTCTGTAAGGAGAATGGTAAGGATGCACTTGTTGTCAAATTTAAGTTTAGGTTTAGAGAATCATGCGGTATGAATCGATACCATTGACGCATATAAGGCTTATTCAGCATTATTTGTTTTGGGATACCATGCAGCAGGTAGCACAGGTCTTTCGAAGTTGCAAACTTGTTTTTACATTATTGGTAACTATCCTAACAACATACCAGAAAATCAGCAAACTGCTGTTTATTGCAGCCTATGATGTCTCAAATGACTGGCCGTGGCCCATCAGTTTTGTCGTAATAAATTATCGGGATGCGTGTCTATACACGCGTATAGTAACCCGTATAGAGGGTAGCTTGGCTGGCGATAATTTGACATGCTTAGAATAGTACGGGAGTCCAAGCGGGTATTTTGGGATTTACTCGAGCGTGGCAGAATAATATAAGAGGGGCAACCTTGCATTTAGTGAAGTACTCTCACTATGCATGAGTCTTTTATTTGGGGTCGAACGTGTAACGTCATAAAATTCAAGAAACGGCCCTGACTTATGGTCGCGTCCAAATCTTCGGTCTTTTGAACAGGAGCTACTAGAGGGCTTCTTAAGCAAGTTTAAAAATTTCATAGCAAACATAGAAATGAGCAATCAGCGCATAGCGCAGTAGTCGCGGCCAGGAGACCCGGCCGCGACTACTGCACTTCATGGATCTAGGCCGCGCGCCGAGTCGCCGCGTGTAGTATCTTCGCCTTGCCTCTCGTGATGTGCGCTGCGCCTCACTTTATCGATAGGGGAGGTACTAAAATCTAATTAGGAGATTATTTACCTTGTACCCTAACAAACTGCTTTGTTGGTATGTCATAAATTTTTCGTTTGGGACGCCCCATTTGAAAATGCGTAGTCGACGCTATGCCTTTGTGTAGTTCCTAGAATCACAAATTAAATAAAAATATTAATCTCTTGTGTTAGTCTACTAGCTTTTTCTTTTGTCTATATACACTCATTATCATCACCCTATTAATGCTCCCACTGCTGGGGCGTAAGCCTTCCCTATGGATGGAATAGGGAGAGAAGTCATATAGATTATTAAAAGTAAAATCTTTCGACAGCCTCCCAATCTCTTACAGGGTGGCGGTCATAATATCAACAGTCGCTGTATCGAAAATGCTACATCGAAGGGTTAATGATTCGACAGTACACCAAATCGATGGTACGTTACATCGAGAGTAGGATAATACGCCATAACGTCAGTATACCATTCAGTTCTAAACTTCACTTCACTTTAATATAAGAACCACATGTTAGGTTAGGTTAGTGTTGTGACCACAGCGCGTGAGCCAAGCGAGCGTAGCAAGCATGCCACGGCAGCAGCCGACGAAGCACCAGAAAAAAATGTGCGATTGCACTCCGGCAGTGCCGTCAAAGTGAAAACTCAAAAAAATATAAACAAAAATAAATAAATCAAACTAGTATCGCTACATTAACCATCCAACTGTTTTTCTAGTAAACATAAAATCTATGCAAAATACTTTACCTACTTATTAATAAGTCAAATACGATTAAGACAAAAATGGCAAAAGCAATGTCCTCAATAACGAAATTGATTAGTCCGCCCATTGATTTGTTCTTCCTTCTATACAAATTCTGATTTATTGAAACTACTTAGCAACTCATGGATCTACCGTGCGAGTTCTTGGTAGTTAGTTGGTTGGCTTAAATGTTTCAGAACAGTTATTTAAATATCTTACTGGATTTTAATGAACTCCTACTACAGCTTTAGTTCTAATGAGTTCACTTGTTGTCTTGTTGTTGTCACATAGTATAAAGTTATTTTTATAGCGTTAATGAGGATCAGGTATACTTTTTTCACATGGATGAACGGTGAGCGAGCTCTGCTATAAATAGGTTGGATCTTTCTGGAGTTCGCTAATATTATGTCTGGTCACAAAATATCCACACCCTCAAGAATTCTGAGATGTTTAACATACGTACCCCCAGTGCCGTCTTTGACCTATTGGAGGCCCTGGGCATATTAGGATAATGGGGCCCCTATGACACCCGTTTGGTTATCTGAGATGAGCCCCTATCGATTTCGAAATAACTTTTAAAAATTAGAAATAGCGTGTGTTTCATTTCGTGCTCGAGTTTTATTTAATACTATTGTGCAAATTTGAAAATTCCAATTCCAAATACACATATATTTTCAGAGTAAAAATGACTACATACAAATTACTAAATAACAATAAAAAAAACATACCTAAGTACATAAAGGGAATGATAAAATTTGCTTTAGTGGTGATTTTATAGAATATTTTTTTTATTAAGACTGTGGTTTAGGACTGCATATTTATTGTCTCTTTCTTATTATTTATGTATTATTAAGGGTCATAATTAAGTCTCGAAAGTATCGAGTATCGTTTTTTTCAATCCCGGGACGTAAAAATAGTCCGAGACTGAAAGCCCTAGTATGTAACCTGTACCAACTTGTACTGAACTATATTGAAACTGTATTACTGTTGTATTTTAAAGTTAAAAAAAAACTTACTTGCATCCAAATATTCTTTCTAATAATATCAATTTCCTGTCGGTCGGACCTCGCGGACTTGGGGTTGTAGTCAGGTGGGTGATACAGCATGTCGTATGCACACAGAGGTGCCGCCTTCGGTTTCCATTTAGTGTTGAAATATGTCTCCTTGGAAACTGGTATTATCATTTGAGTCCTAAGACGATCTTCAAGTACATTGTTTGTAAGCATTGCTGTTGTAAGATTAGTAGGAAAACATAAATATTTCGTATCTGGCTCAGATCGATATTTTACAATGATCTTTTTAAATTCCAATTTAAAAATTAAATATTTCCTAAATAAAATTTGATAAAACCGTTCAAATAAAAAACAGTAAATTTAAATATAATCGAGGTCGAATTACATCACTGCTTAATGAGATTCAGTATGTGCTGTCCATTGTCCAGAATTATATTCTCTTTTAGTACCTAGATCAGTAGATACAAGATGAGTATTATAGTGATCAGTAGTGATGTAGATGTGGCATAGATATAGGGTAAATACTTAATCTATGGGATATAGTGATGATCTATAGATGATCAATGTGATGATGATAACTACAGTGATGATCGACTTTTAAAAATACAAAATTCAAGATTATTTCATTAGATTTGTTTTTATTCAGTTACTTACAGAACTCAGTTCTGCTGCAACTTGCTTATAAATAATGTTTTAATAGCAAGCACAAATTAAAATGGAAGTTGTTAAAACACTCAAGTAGTCTAATCAATGAATGCGTGAGTGTAGAAATATATAGGTATAGTTTTTTATTGAGTGTAATGAATAAATGTCTGTATATGAATAAATGTCTTTCTACAAGTTAAAACTCCTTGGAGTTGCTTGTTTGTATTTTTTTCAATCTTATTTATTTAGAGGCTTTTAACTCATAAAAAGGATATGCCAGCCATGCCATTATATATATATTGTTTATATATTGAGTTTTTTTCTCATGGCTGATACGTAATTTATTCGTTGGCATGTTATTAATCATTTCTGATGTACATTTTCTATTTTTAACTTACCCCTGGTCTGTGTAGATGGAGGATTTCTGCTCACGACAAAAAAAAACCCGTCTGTGCAAGTGGTGGATTTCAGCCACGCGTACATGGTACAATATTTAGATAAAGAATAGATAAATAGAAATAGATGCAAAAAAAATTAAGATTGATTTAAGATATAAATGAAGACAAGTTTAGTAGAACTCGCATTATAACAGTTTTAGTGAAGCGCGGGAACCACATGTGTTTGACGGCCATTTTCTTACACAGATGAGGGGTTAAGGGAAACCTGTGATTGACCTTAGTTCCCTGTAATGTACTATCTGGTATTTGTTTATGTATACTCTGTTGGTTTTCTTAATAAAAAAAGCTGCTGCTAAGGTTGCTATCATTTTTTTAGGTCAAAAAACTAAACGGTTCGTATGTCTGCGGTGGGCTTAGAGCACTTAGATGCTCTAAGACGATGGGACACTTTGTACCGTAGAGAGATTCTTCGCCCAAGCTTTGTACTTAGAAGAACCGACAAGAAACTCTGCAACCGTCGTTCTCTGCGATTTGATATTTCAATCATATTAAGATATTGTGTTGGCATCGTTTTGGTCAAATTCATGTCGTAATTTATTTCATCAGATACTAAAAAACTCAAAACCACTAGTTGTTTTTTTCAACTCAGGAGGTGTCTTTATGTGGGTCTGGATCAGTCTATATTTCACCAACAGTATTACGGAACCTACAGTCTACGGTTGCAGTTTACATGCAGTCGACAAGTCCTTGTTGCGTACCATTTGAATTGTTCACTATTATCTATGGATAATAATGACAATCATTATGCCAAAATGTGTACATAAATTATCAATCATGAAACGAAGTGTTTTGCATTATTTTTAATTTTATTAAATCAAAATTATTAACATGGACACTGACTACAGCAGTATGTGCTCGGAATTAATTGGTTTGAATTAGTTTTTAATACCTATACATATTTTTTGTTTGTCTGTTAATTTGTGTTGTTTTATTTTTGTTTTTTATCGTTACGTTTTGGTAGAGTCACTGGATTATTTACGACCCACCGTGAAAAGAACTAACAGGCAGAACGGTTCTGTCTTGAATTTAGAGTCTAGTAAAGGAGACATTGGAGCTTTAAAACATTTAAGTGCAAAGTTCTCAAAGAAAGCTGGATATTCTCAGACAAAGAGAAGAGGTGCTGAATCGTCTTCTTCTCTCATTCTGGAGAAAACTACTGAAAGAGAGGTAAAATATTTACATACTAGCTTTCTACCCGCGGTTTTGCTCACGTAGACTACCAATTTCATCCTCTTATTGATTCCAACTTTTCGAAGTTTCATTAAACTTTCATCCCCTATCTTAACCCTTTACAGGGTGACCTTCCAATAGTTACTTCCTAAAAACAAACCCTCCAAAATGTACCTCTTTATAATAAGTAAAGATTAAAACCTCATGACGCGCCACATACTTATTTGGTTTTTGATCGCCGTACAATGGTTTCTGAATTTACTTTGCCGGCTATTGAGACTTGTACTGTGTTCACCACAAGTTCACTTTATATATATTTTTCTCTCGCTGGATTTACTCTACTACGCTTCCGGGAAAAGAAGATATTATTATAAGTTTTATAGTGCACTAACAATTACTATAAAAAAGCAATGCACAAAATAAAGCATCTTTATAATGTTTAAATTTTTTGGAGCTTACCTGAGTATGTATTCTACGTTAAAGCGTTATTTTAGATTTCAGAAAACTCTACATCACTAAGTTATACCGGTTTAATCGGTACAGCAGAAAACGAAAGAAAACCCTTAAAAAAGCAAATCCACGGTGCTGTAGAGAAACCAATAGTTAAAGTTACTATAATACCAAAACCAGTGCAGACCCAAACATCAAATTTTCTGAAGAAGCGAAAACTTATTGCGAAAAAAATTCAAGCCACAGTTTCCAACCACGAGAATTCTATCCAGGCCAAAAATCTATTTTTAGTGTTGGGTGAACAACAAAGGGACCTCGTTTACGAATTAAAAAGAATAGGAAGCGCGAAATTGGTCAATAAAAATGAACAAAAACATAAAGATGATGAAGTGTCACTAGATCAAATATCTAGTCTAAAATTAGTATTGGATTCTCTAAATATGGACAAAAGGAAGGACAAGAACAGAAAGAAAATTCCTAGGAAATTGGAAGCTAATTCACCAGAACCAGCTGGTACATCGAAATACCACCAATATGATTTTCGAGAGTGCACATGCCCTATCAGCCCGATTACAGCCAAATCTGAGCATGCGGGCGATTTGAACTCTCGTAAAAGCTGCGTAAGGATTACCGGTCGTGTAGGGTTGACGGAGGATGACCGTTACGTTTTACAATACGCAGCTTCCATCGATGATAAACCAGGTATAGAATATTATCATTTTCTTCTAAATTATTACATATTTTCTAGAGATATTATCAAAAAAATCCTTTTCGCAGCTAACACCGAATTAGCTGCAATCAACTTCAGGACGCATCGGGACGAGCAAAGGTAAGCCCGATATTTTAAATTATAGCGCGATATTATACGGTCGGGGCTTATATTTAAATAAGGAGTAAAATATACCAATTTTGCCGCCGCATCTAAAGTTTAATCCAAATAAGATTTTTTTTACTTTATGTTCACTGTTTTGTTTATGCAAGGTTTTATGGAGCGTTTCTGAATCCATTGGAAATCGTTCGTTCGTTTTGAGGAAAAAGTTTGAGCATGTTGACGCACACTTAGGTAATTTTAGGTATAGATACCTACAAGTGTATTATTACTTCTAATAACTAGGTATTCTATATAAATAATTAAAAATGTAAGCCTCGCGTGTCTGTACATTGACTATTTTTGCAAAAAAGTAGTTTGGGAGACTTTTGTCTGTTTGTCCGTTGGATTTTCTGTATATCTTGTTCGCGCAACCAAAACTGCTGAATTAAATAGGTACAATGCATTGATAATATCTTTTTTAAAGAGTGTGTCTCTGGGTGCACTGTATAAAAAGTTATTACAAGCCGCGTAGAAGTACAAAAATGTGATTTCATACAATTTTTTTCTACATCACGGCAAAGGTTTGCGATTGTTTTATGCTTATGTAGTTTCAACATGGCAAGTATGGGTTTTACGAGTTCCAATAATTATTCAAATGCTTTAATAGTTATTTATGATATTAGTGCGGTAAGTTGGTTATTACGAAGGCGAATGTAAGACTTACCATAGTCACGAGTTTGTAATACAAATCAGCACGGATGTCATACAACGTTTTTCAACACATTTGCGAGATAAGATTTTACATAATTTAAGTAATAAAGCAAATTTATTCTAATAAGAAAATGGCGCTGCATTTCCTAATGGCGCCACGTAAAAATTACAACTACATCTTTCGTCTCTTTTTCTTTTACGTATTAAAGTAAGACATAGGCATAGACTAAAAGCACTTCCGAGGAGGTTCGATCGAAAAAAAAAACCGTAAAGAATACGCACGGTGCCATGTATGGAAGCGTGCGTATCCGCACGCGCCGGCGCCGCCGTATGGCCCGTAATTTTGAATTTTCGAACAATGTATGTATACATTAATGATTGAGCAAATGTGTTGGAAAATATATTAACGCTGTACGCACGGCGTCGTCCGTTCGTACAGCAGTGCTATTCTGTAAACACAAAGTGAAAAATTAACACAGTAGCACTGCGGATTTATTATAATATAGTATTAAATATATGAAAAGTGTTTGTTTATAAATTAAAGAATGTCATTGTTCGTTCGCATTTTTTTGGTTTGTTAAAAAATTATTAAAGTAGGAAAAGTTTTGTTTTGATTTATAAATTAAAGAATATTATCTGTTACACACAAATCTAATAATTAATGTTTTAGTTTTCTTTAAAAACTACTTAAAATAAATTATTAGAGGGTACTTATTGGTTCAGAAGAATGCGTGGTTGTACAGTGAAGGAAAGCAATCTTGAAATGACGAGGCATACTGGCAGTAATCGGTAATCATTTATTCATAAATCAGGACGCAATAAGTTGGTCTATTGATTCAGGGTAAATTCAAATTAAATAATGATTTATATGTATAATCATGAAAATTACGCCTGGCGTGTATAAATAAAGTCAAGAGATGAGAGAAATGTCAGGTTATATTTTCTTCTTGTATTGTTATTGCGAATATATATTTGATGCAGCACATATAGGTAATTAACACGATTGAAAAGGGGCTGCAACCAGAAAATGATAAATAATTAATAATGGGTTTGCAAATAGCATAACGTACTCACGTAAATATCATAAAAATAAATTGGATATTCTGACTAAAACAATAAATAAATAAATATCTAAGGGGGTGGGGTGTAAAAAAAATGGACCAATATGACTTCTGACAACATTCAGAATTATAATCTGCATGCTTTTCTGAGTTCAAATCCATATACCGAATGCGGTCCTCACATTTTGCATTCTCAACTTCACCCAGCGCCCGATCTATATATAAAATGTTTACCGTTTTTTTTTTGAATGAATTGCATTATATATATTTTTTTTATAAGAACACGTCTACGTGAATATCTACGGCTTCGTCGTAGTCAGAGGCGTAGCATGCGTGACTCGTAGCGAGGCCGAGGGGACATTTGAAATTGTTTTTTGTTTTGTCGGTCCTAATTTTTCTAGAACCTCCCTTTTCCCCATTTGTCGTGAAAATTGGGATATTCTATAAAACAGTTTTTGCATAAATTCCTGCAAGTGTGGACCGCTTCCACTGTCACGTTTAGTATGCCACGTTTTTTAATTACTAAAATCAATGTAATTACCTCCTCACAAATTAGATTTTCATATATAGTTTCAATTGGTTGTAACTTTTTTTGCCAGGCTAAGGCTGCCTTCGTCTACATTTCTGACGCAAACTTAATTTTTATATACAAAACGCAGGAAATTATCCCACCCGTTCTGATTTTTTTTTTATAGATAGTTCCGACAAATGACTCCACTCCACCTGATGTTAAGTGGAGGTGAAGTCCAGATGCGAAGATAGCTGATACAGCAGTTCTACCTGCCACACCAGCCATCCTCATATTAAGTTAAAGTGGAGTATAGGCGCGAAGATAGCTGATTTTGGTAACATTGAGCGTTTTCCGGGAGACAAACAAAAAATATTTACGTATTTGTGTTAATTAAAAACATCTCAAAACTTCCGGTTTAGATTTTAATGCCCTTGTGTTGTGTAGCTGCGGTACCCTTACATAACGGTATTGGTTGTTGGACCACTTTCACCCAGTTTCCTTTATTATTTGCGAAGGCAAAGAATAACAAATTAAAATAATACACTGTTCTCTTTCCTGGAACAAAAAGTGTCGCAAGTCTTATCTGTACCTACTTGTCTTCTTTTCGAGGTCCCCGCGTTATAAAAGATAAGGAAAAAGCGTGTTGAAAGAGGCCATTTACAGTTATTTATAATATTTAATGTTATTTTATAATATTTCGATGCAGACCACTGCCACGCATTGGTTCTTCAGATTTCGACTTCTTTTATTACTCTTTTTTATTAGGAGCACACCGCTGTCCGAACTCTTTCCTACACAGATTCTTTCACTATAATAAGTTTCCTATTTTAAAGTATCAAACTCAATTTATTTACTGCTCACGTTTTGTGGCGTGTAGCGGCAGCATGATGCAGGGAGGACCCTGCATCATACTGCCTCAACACGGTAAAAAGAGTAAAAAATACATATTTGGTTAATCAGGAGATTAACCAAATATGTATTTTTTACTCTTTTTATTACGTATATTTTTTAAAATATTTGTTGTTTTGTAATGTGGTCAATAGAATGTTTCTCTCTCTCTCTCTCTCTTTTACTGTCCCATTTTTCCTCATGTTTATGTAGTTATTATTGTTTAATATCCACAATCTACTCTCACTAATTTAATTTCATATTCCACATTCTTATTTGAATGTATGGATAACCGTCAACAAGTCGATTCCGTTTACACTGACTTCTGCAAAGCTTTCGACAAAGTTGACCACGCTATCCTTCTACGCAAGATAGCATTTAACGGGATTCGTGGAAATTTGTTTCGCTGGTTTCATTCTTACATAACCAATAGGACCCAAAAGGTTGTGGTAAATGGCTTTTCCTCATCAACGATTTATGTATCTTCGGGTGTAGCTCAAGGTTCAATTTTAGGGCCTTTGCTCTTTATTTTATTTATAAATGATATTTCCCAATGTTTCATTAATAGTAACTTCCTCCTGTATGCTGATGACTTAAAGGTATATCGCACCATCACGAACTTTGATGACTGCATTAAACTTCAACAAGATTTAGACCGCCTCTCACTGTACTGTAGCATTAACAAACTGCATCTCAGCATACCAAAGTGTAAGGCTATAACATTTACAAAGAATAGAAACATTGTACTAAACACGTATTATTTGAATAACACACCATTAGAAAATGTCACATTAATTCGTGATTTGGGAATCCTCTTTGACTCTGAACTGCACCTGAATTCTCATATAGATCATATCACCAGTAAGGCTTACAAACTTTACGGCTTTGTAGCTCGGTCCTGTTCAGCTTTCAAACGTCCAAGCACACTTATATACCTTTTTAAGTCCTTGATCAGATCACAGCTTGAGTATGGTGTCATCATATGGAATCCTTTCTATAATAAGTACAATAAACAGGTCGAGTCTGTTCAACGGAAATTTTTGAGATATGTTAATTTTAAATGTTGTCACTCCAAAGTTTCATATGAAAACTTGCTAATAAAATTTTCACTAGACTCGCTCGAAGTGAGAAGGTCACTCCTGAGTTCTATGTTTCTCTATAATCTATGTAATAATAACTTTGATTGCATTTATTTGATAAATAAAATAAATTATCAGATACCCAGTAGATCAAAACGAATCCAACAAAATTACCATCATCGATTATTTTCACTTCCCCGGTGTAATACTAATGCTGGAGCCCGTGCACCTTTGTATAGAGTCATGAAAAGTTACAACGATAATTTGCATAATATTGATATTTTTCAATTGTCACCATCCTTATACAAAAAAAGTGTCACTTCAGTTTTCTCCCAAGGTTCAGAAGTATCTAAGTGAATGTTAATATACTAAAATAGATATACATCGGTTAGACTTGCACCCTGGCTGGATTTAACTACTTTAGCACAGTGGTTTGATTGATAGGTCATGTCATTATTTTCAGTTACTAATTTATATTCTGTTCATTTCTTGGTATCTACTGTATTAATAGAAAATCTTAAGCGCAAAAATATGTATTTTGTTTTAATTAGTGGATAATGAAGTTGGTCGTACAATAATTTAAGGTGTCACCTGTATTACAATACTATTTGTTTAATGAGAATTGTACCACTGTTTTTTGTCCTGAATAAAATAAAATAAAATAAAATAAAACAATAGCTAGCTACCTTTCCTCTCTCGTCTCGCTCGATCGCAAAAAATCAATCCGTAAAAACAGCTCTAAATAATAGAGACTGATTTGAAACTTCGATTAACTTATTTTAATATAGAGATAGTATTTAGAGATAGTAAAGAAGTGATAATTTACACAGATACTTACCTAATATTATTAACAGGTTTCCTTGCTCACGAAAATGCATAACGGACAATTGCGTAAGAGAAGGTTCCGCGAGGAATTTCAGGTAAAAGTTTTGTTTTCGACTTATTGGTGGCCACGACTTCATCTGCGTGGAAAAATTGATTTCCTATACAAACTTCCACACCCTTTTTCACCCCCTGAAACGATAATTTCTGGGTTAAGCACTCCGGAAAGAAGTCGCGGAATTAAAATTATCTCTATAGCAAATTTCATCTAAATCGGTTCAGCGTTTGAAGCCTGAAGAGGTTAGTAATACACAGGCACATTTTATCATCCTACCCACTAATATTATAAAATAATGATGAAGTTTTCTATGTTTGTTACTCAACAATCACGCAAAAACTGTTGAACGGAGTTGGTTTAAATTAGGTTCGCATATAATTTATAACCTGGATTGAAAACAATGATAATTTTCATCCCGGAAAAACGTTTCGTTCCTGTGGGATTCTAAAATAAAAGCACGGGCGGCCGCTAGTTTCTAATATTAGTATGGATTTATTTGGAGCTAATATGTACCTAAAGAAAATTTTACCACTAAAAAATCCACTGAGCCCAGTTGCCAGACTGGAATCGGACCAGCGCCATTTTGATACCCAATTAAGGTCCGATAGCTGATTGGAATATAAATATATTTACTAAAATATTTATGTCTTTAAAATTTTTTTGATGCCATTATACCATTAGGAAATCAATTAATGATTGTTTTCAACGAGGCAGTTTAGTGAAATAAATTCTAAATAGGTACTCCAATTCTTCCAGGACTCACAGAAATAGTAACAACCAATTTGATTCTTTGAATGAATCGCCAAAAAATGTTGAAATCCAGTCTACAAATCCAAGGTAAACACCTCGCCTTAACTTAACCCTTCCTTGAGAATGAAAGAGGTAAAAACTATTTTATTTTTATTCTCGAAGTGAAATATAGGCACCATATACTTCATACATTATTAAAGTACCTACCAATGCCCATAATGGTCATAGAATTGAAGTATTAAACGCAGACTTCTACATCCCCACTCAGAAAAGCCAATTTATTTTAAACGACAAAAGTCGTCACTTTCGTTGCGATTACAATAAAATGAGACAGAACGATTAATGAAATATCATCTTCAACAGGTGCAAATTATGTTCATGTTGTGATTGCTTGGACTGTTCTGTCAACAACAGGAATGTTAGGTGAGCTGGGAAATGAAAACTTTTCATAAAATTACATAAATCTATAGTTCATCCAATTATGTCGGTTTAGATAGCGCGACTGTTAATACTTAAAATTATCCCTGAAGAGAAGTCGAAAGTGACAAGACTACTAAAGTGCTACTTTCATACTCTGTGGCAATTATTTTTTTTGGCTTTGCGATCTTAATAGGATCTGGGCTGTCTTATCTGCTATCGTTACTACCAATATAATGGTCCCAACTGGTCCCACGTGGTGAATCAAGGCCCGCTCTCTCTATTTCATCCAAAGGGAAGGCCTGTGACTGCGCTGTGGTGACATTGTAATAGGCTGATGAAGAAAAAACAAACATCTTTCAATTGAAATAACTATTTATGTTTAGCGCGACAGTTGATAAAAGGGATCACAATATTCAAGTTGATCTTCCTGAAGATAGAAGTTGGGAGTCAGCTCACCAGGCGAGCGGTTCACCTATGGCACCAAACTTATTGAAATGGTCAGCATATCTTGTGGTAAATTTGGTAAAATAATATAAGGGAAAGCAATAATTGTTCGCTGATTAATTGAATAGGTACTGAATTATGTACATGAAGATCTATCATTATACCTGTGCTTGGTAGTCGAATTTTACATTAATTTGTTTCCAAGTTTCTGTACACAGTTGCTACATACGCAAGCCATTTGATCCATCCAAAAGTCTCGTTCATTCTAAACCTTTTGTTTTTATTTCTAGCCAAGCATCGCACGGCACACAAGTGAATTTTGATATAGGATTTACAAACACTGTCACCTGTGATAATATTAGTACCATAAATACAGTAAAAGATAAAATCATTCAGTATAGCTGTATCAACACTACTACAGATGACAATGAATTTTGTGAAGAGATGACATCAGACAGCGAATGTGATAGGAATTCTTTGAAAAGGAGTCCTAGTCCCATGGTTGTCATATCTGTTTATCCCATTCAAAAAATGGATGGTGAAAAAGTTAAGGTTGCAACAAAACCACCTGTTGCCAATAAATACTTTTCATATGCAAGAAATAACCATGTGGAAACGCAACTAAATAAAGAACGACAAACTAGTAAAAATTCAATGAAAAGTAGATCTGTGAACAAGGGCCCTAATATATGTAGAAGTCGATCTCCATCGCCACAAACTAGAAATCAAAGTAAATCGAATTTAAATGACACCAAAGTTTCAAAAACCATTAACAATAGAAAAGCTAGTCCTATTCATGATAGGACAACAGCAAGAACTACTTCACCGCCCAACGTCAATCGAAAAATTAATCTGGAAAAGACAAAATATAATAAAGAGCAAAGTAAAAGTTGGACAAGACCTAATAGATGGGCTCAAAAAGAAACCAAAAGTACAAATACTGAACATAATGTCACAAAGAAGTTATTAGTTGATAGTTATACGAAACAGTTAACGGATTTTTTGCAAAATAATAAAATTAAAAAATATTGTAATTGCAAAAGAGAAAATGACACAAATGTACAAGTGAATATAGATGGTAGTGATCAATGTTACGACGTAACTTTTTGCCAAGGAAGAAAGGTTACTGATAATCGCCGGAAAAGTAATAAAATAAAAAATAGTAAACCATTGAACGATTCACCATCGCTACAGAATTTACTCATACCAGAAGAGGATTCTAATAATCGTTCTATCTCAAAAGCCGTTTCTAATGATCAGGTGAGCTGTTATTGTTGGAAATTGTCTTAATTTTTCATTCTTTAAACATTGGTAGTTGAACGTAGCTTTATTTTATTTTCAGCAGGACAACGAAGGCACATTCTCAAGGTTACAAGTCAAAGATAGTTTAGAAATATCTCACAGGTAGCTTTGTTTTTTCAGTTTTGTTTTTTAGATAAGTATATAAATAACTATTATCGCATTAATAAAAACGTAAATATACCCAAAAATACAGAATAATAATAATAAAATGAGTCTAAGGAAATACTCAAATATCCTGAAAATTAAACAAACGATTGTTTTGTTTGCATCTACAGAGAAGAAAAAATTTACTTCATTACGATTATTCCATAGTACGTTACTGGTCATTGAGTTGAATGGGTCGAATTAAAGGTACCTACCCAAATACGAGGTCTCAAGTCGTTACGAAATTATCAACAATTCTAAATATATCTTAACAACTCTCAGTGTGTAAGCAGTTTCATAGCATACACCCTACAATAGTTATAATACAATCTTCTAAAATCTCCTCTCTGTAACTATTACAGACGCGAGGAGAGCAACCCTTTCAATGCATGGAAGAGTGAAACTGCTACTAATGATGGAGAAAAATTTAAGCGAAACTCACGTAAGATAGCGATTGTTAAATAGAAATATACATTGACAACTACAAAGCAACGAATAACACCTTCAATAATTTTATACGTTTAAGATTTCTATTATCACAACCCACTGCCTTAAGTTTGTTAATGCTAAAGATTGATACTTAAACTAGTGATAGCTAGTAGTATCTATATCATCTTGAACTCTAGATTTTTCTTCTCAATACAAATATGCATAAAACGTTCATGTATTTATGTTCCCTCAGCTTCGAACAAACATTACAGAGGTGACAGTTGTCCTCTTTCAAATCCGATAGTGAGAGATCAGGAAATCAGAGCTTTATTAGGGGTTGATAAAGGCCGAGAAAAATTTTCTAGTATGGTAAGGTGTAACCTTTTATATTTTTCTTACTGTTTAGTTTTTGCAGATTATTTATTACTATACCTACCGATTACAATGATTTTTTTTAACTATATACATTTTTTTTTTCTAGGTCTATCCTGTATACAATATTATTGCACAGCCTATGCATTGTTCCTACGAGAGCACATGGTTTATTTTTATTTATTTTATTCACTTTGTGATAAACACAACTACTAGATTTGATAAAAAGATTTAACTGATTGTATTTCGATATTTGCTGACACAATTTCTCGTATTTTTAGCGATATTGTATTTCGATATTGGCTGACATAATTTCTTGTATTTTTAGCGATAAAAATATTACCAGTTTACCTGTAAAAACTGAAAATCAACCAGAAAGTTGTGCGTGTACTGATATTGCAAATGCGATGAAATATAATAAAACCACAAACATAAGGGATACCATACCTGCCAGACTGTGGAAGATGCGGTGTGAATGCAAGTTGTCTGTTGGCAAACGTTCCGATATTTGCGAATGTTCAATGAACAAAGATGGACAAAAAGACCAAGGAACTGTTACATCTCAAACTGCTTTAAATATCACAACGACCAATGAAAATCAACAAATCCAATGCTGCTTGGCAAGCACGCGTAACTCAAGCAGTAGTGGTAAAGATGTACAGTGTGAATGCAGTATGTCTAGCTCTTACGACCAAAACAAAATAGAAAAAGCTTCTGTTAAATCTGTTTCAAAAACGTCAATTTTGATCAATAATAAAGCAACCCAACACGGGGAAACCCCCGTACCAAGAACATCATTGTACCAACAACTTATTCTAAATCGAAACATACAAGTGTTCTTACAAGTGGAACAGTTTTCCAAACAAAAACCAATAATATTATCAAGAAAGCAATACAATAAAGTTAAGAGAACAATCGAAAACACTATAATATCAAAGAAGTCAAAACGTAAAACATGCATCTGCAAAACTAGTCTGCTGTCTTTAGGTGAAGTTAAGAGAAAAACAAACCATCGGAAGTCAAATTTAGACAACAAGGAAGCAGAAACACAACGCGCCAGTGTTAGCGATGAATCGAAGAAGAATAACAGCAGTGAAGATTTAAAACAGCAAAATACATACTATTTATTTACGGGAAAACAAAATTCAGATAGCGAACACGTGAAAACGCCTCGAAAAACGGCATCTTCAGTTGAATTTCGATTCGCTAGCGTATCCTGTACAAAATATGTAACATTTTCGTCAACCAATGTGGAAGTTGGCACCTCTGCTTCTCGGTTTGGTGAACAACAATCTCCTTCCCTTCATACAATTTTTAAAAGTAAATAAGTTTTTTTTTGTTTTAAATTTAGAAAGTAATGGATACACTTCCAAGTTTTATTTCTTCTAACTACGTACCTATAATAAGACGTGTATTAACAAATTTTGATTAACCATTAGGTCACAGAAAATGCGCATCACCAAATCTAGGAACTTCACTGTATTCTTTGAATTCTGAAGGAGATACCTTAGGTCATGAGCCTAAAAATGCAGAACCTCGCATTGAACCAAAGGCAAAGAAACCATTTCTGAGGAGGCTGATGTCCTGTCTTGTTTTGCGATCTGCTAAAGTAACCGGTGTGAGCCGTGAAATAAACGCAGTTACACGACCCTTTAACGAGCCATCTCTTGATAGCTCCTTCGATTCATATCATATCAGCAGTGCATTCTGTGTAAGTAGTTATATTTTTTGCCACGGGCAACATAGGCAGCATGTCATGTCACCACAATATGCCTAAATTCAGCAATCGATTTTAAACTTACTATTGAAATATAGGGACGATCTCCGTGGCCGAGTTCTATTGTAGGGACCTCTGAGTAGGCGAAGCCTGGTTTCATGGCGTCGCCTACTGAATACGAGCATTTGTACCTTAGTCATGGATGTATATATATATATATATATATATATATATATATATATATATATATATATATATCTTTATATATATAATTCTTCTGTGAGTGTGTATGTCACTGAACTTCTCTTAAACGACTGGACCGATTTTGATGAAATTTTTTGTGTGTGTTCAAGGGGATCTGGGAATGGTTTAGATTCACAATTTTGTCCGCTGGACAACCCCAATTTTTTTAGGGCGGTACGAAGTTCGCTGGGTCAGCTAGTATATATATATATATATTTCTCGATAAAATTTACTATAATGTATTCTATCCGTTATCTTAGCATTCCCTAACACAAGACTAACAGTGTTTATTTTGGTGCTTGGCTAATTGGTGTGATTGTGGGAAATCTTTATTTATAACCTGAAAAGCTGATGTTATGAGTATGCAATATGTGGAGGTCCTTCGTGGTTCAATAGCATTCAAATTAAAAAATAAGTTGATGGAAAAACCCGCCCAAGTACAAGTCGGCCTCGCATGGAGAGTTACGTACCGTTGTAAAAGATTTAAACAAAAATAACACGTTTCTTGTTTGGCAGGATGTTTTTGTTTGTAATTATATTATTTGTTTAATGTCAATTGTAAAAAGTATAATATGTAAAATAGGTGTGATTTTATGAAAACAGCGATGCAAGTGAAACATTTTTTTTCACTTATTTTTTTTAAACTTGGTTAGCTGATATAACCCTGGCTTTTAAAAAGTAGAAAATAAAAAATCCTTACTCGGCTGGGAATCGAACCGCTTTCCGCGAGCCGCGAGCTTTCTACCCCTGAAACATAGATGCTTGTTGAGAAGGCCAATATTACGACATGCTAAAAATAAACGAAAAATTTTGTGGCGATGTAATTAAAGTTTCACTTTAATAATTATACAAATTGTATAAGAACATAAGGTTTATTGCGGTTGCCAAGATAGGCATTAAGGCAGGCCATAATAAACCGTGTACGTTCCACTCTATATTTATCTTAGTAATAAGGTGTTGTTTCTGGTATGATTCTATCAAGCTAAACTTAAATTTGACAACATTCAAATCTCTGTCATTCTCTATACAGAATGAAAAGGACAGACTGATGATGTTAAATTTAGTTATAAGTTTAGAGAATCCTGCCAGAATCGACACTAATCTCTCTATTTTACAGGGAGTGGAAATGACGTCATCGATGTACGACACTTCGATTTCATTTTACAGCAACCATAGCGTATATCCTGTAAATAGCAAAATGAAGCGGGGATTCTTCAATTCCGTACGTGAGTTCCTCAGCATACGTAAAAGTCAATCTTTAAAGGCGAAGAATCAATAGAATATTTTGGTGCAGCAATCATAGTTAAATCAATTGTTGTGTTTACTTTGTTAGTTTTGCTTTTGTTTTTTTTTACTGTCTGTCGTTTTTTTTTAATATATTATAATATTTTGATGTTACCTAATTGTTTTATTTTTATAACAAATAAACATTTTGTTGTTTGCTCTTCATAAAATTCACCTATTACTTTATTATATGTGACGTTCCACGGGTAAAGGTACCTTATGGTCGGTTACTGAGTTACGCACGTCTCTGTAGTCATCAAGAAATATCCTCGTAAGATGTCTAGTTACAGAACAATATATAAGTATACGATGATAAACGAAATTGTGCCCTTTCAGGAAATTGTAATTTTTATATTTGTTTCTTAGGTTTTCACGCACACGACTCATTAAATAAAATAAGTTTCAACGGTGCATCTATAATTCTATATGCATGATGACGTTTCGCATCCTTTTCATAATAATTCTGACGACGCAGCCTTGTTAAGGGTGCGAAACGTCATAAATAAATAAATCTCTAACCTGCATCTATACCGATGTCATGACCATCGTTGTATAGGACACGAAAAACTGTTTTATCGTTGAAAGTTATAACAGTACAGTATATAAATGTAGGCTACTTTGAGGTGTGAATACATGCTCAAACTATATTTACACTGTACACACAAAACATAATTTAAATTTATTCATTATAAGGAAATATACAAAGTAATACAAAATATTTTACACTATATATTTACATCTTATATCTAATAATATTTATTAATATCTAATATAGAATTTATAATAAGTACTATAATTATATTAACAATATTACATTTTCATTACATATCATGGTGTACTGGTTTGTCAATATATCGATAACAATTATCGACACGCCCTACGCACTAGCGGATAGTCTTGTACATAATTCTTTTGTCTATCTTATGTACTAGAGATGCGCGTGCGTCGCCGCGCTGTCTTTCAAACCAGTCGAGACTGAACTACGACGCGGAGCGCACGCTTCTCTTAGCTCGCTTATATACTTAGATCTGTACGCTTTATATAATTGTGCTTTTCGTTTCTATAAACTGTTTATCTATTGCCTATCTTTCTGACTGTCTTTTTCTAGTGCTGTGCTTGAACTTTATATCTTGTACCGTCTTCGCCTTCTATTTGTTAATGTGTATATATGTGCTTTATGGTATTATATTGACGGACGGAGTCAGCTGTAAGTTAGACGTTTCATTTATTCCCAATTTATCACACCATATACTACACTGGTGACCCGGTTTAAGAACCATGGATGGAGAATTTCAAGATGCACGTGGAACTAGCACGGCCACGCAGGCAAATAATAGTGACGGGAACCAGTCGATAAAAAGTATCGATGTTTTCAAAGTAGGAATTCGGGTGCCACCGTTCTGGCCAGAAGAGCCTGAGATTTGGTTCGCGCAAGTGGAGGGGCAGTTCGCCATATCTGGAATTACCAGTGACTCCACCAAATATCATTATGTGATTGGCCAACTCGACAAACAATTTTCCAGAGAAGTGAAGGACCTTATTATCAGCCCACCTGCTACAGATAAATACCACAAATTGAAGACTGAGCTCATCAAGCGGCTTACAGCGTCGAAGGAGAAGAAGCTCAAACAACTTTTGATGCACGAGGAGCTGGGAGACCGCAAACCCTCCCAATTTCTCCGCCATCTTAAAAGTCTCGCCGGCGTTAATATTCCTGACGATTTTTTGAAGACAATCTGGGTGAGTCGTCTATCGCATGGGATCCAGACAGTCCTCGCTGGCCAGCCAATTACAGCATCTACCGACGATTTGGCGGACTTGGCCGATCGTATTCATGAGCTGGCAACACCGACTCCTTCTGTGGCTTCCACTAGCCAAGCTAGCTTAAACCCAAGCATCGAAGTCTTGACCAGAGATGTTACAGAACTTAGGAAACAGTTCCAGAAGCTGGCGGAGAGGAACGGCAGATCTTCATCACGGTCTAGAAAACCATCCCGTACCCGTTCATCGTCCAGCAAGCGCTCCCAATGGAACTACAGGAAGTTTCCGCTTTGTTGGTACCATAATAAATTAGCTGAGAAAGCCGACAGATGCATAAAGCCTTGCGATTACAAAGCGGGAAACGCCAGGGGTGGTCTATAATGGCGACTGCTGACTGCCCTACATCTTCTACTGGTCGCCTGTTTGTCACGGACCGCTCTTCGAAGATGCAGTTTCTCGTCGATACTGAAGGCGACCTCTGCGTCTTCCCACGGTCCCTTCTTCACGATCATCGTGCTAGGACGGACTACAACTTATGTGCTGCGAATGAGTCTACTATATCTACTTACGGTTATGTACAACTTAATCTTAATTTTGGCTTACGTAGATTGTTTAGTTGGCGTTTTGTAGTTGCAGATGTAACTAAACCAATCATTGGAGTAGATTTTTTAAATTATTTCAACCTCATTGTAGATTGCCGTAACAAACGCTTATTAGATAGTACAACCTCTGTGTCATCTGTAGCTTTAGTTGCAAATTGTAGCAATATAGCGTCTGTTAAAGTTTTAACTGGTGAAACTCGGTATCACAAAATTCTCGACGAATTTCCCGAGATCACTCGACCAACTGGTACACACCGCACATTCGCACACAACACTGTTCACCACATCCGCACGACCCCAGGCCCTCCAGTTTTTTGTAATCCTCGCCGTTTAGCTCCAGACAAACTTAAGGTTGCCCAACAGGAGTTCCAGAATATGATTGCACAGCGGTACAGCCAGACCATCGCAGAGTCCATGGGCTTCACCTCTTCGTCTGGCGCCGAAAAGGGACAATGGCTGGCGTCCATGTGGTGATTACCGCATGCTCAATTCTCGTACCATACCTGACAGGTATCCGATTAAGCATATACATGACTTCGCACATAATCTTGTTGGTTGCAAAGTCTTCAGCACCCTTGATTTATTAAAGGCTTATAACCAGATTCCTCCCAGACCCAGCCGACATTCCGAAGACCGCGATCACAACACCATTCGGGTTGTTTGAATTCCTTTCATGACCTTCGGACTTCGGAATGCCGGCCAAACCTTCCAAAGATTTATGGACGAGATTACGAGAGGCATGGATTTCATCTACTGTTATTTGGATGACATTTTGATCTTCTCGAAGAGCGTGCGGGACCCCGAGCAACACCTACGCCATATTTTCGCCAAGCTCAAAGAATACGGGTTGGTGATAAACACCGGTAAGTGCGTTTTTGGAGTCCAGGAAGTAACTTTTTTTAGGCTACTCTGTGTCTGAGATCGGTTCCAGGCCTTTAGACTCCAAGGTGCAGGCAATCAAGGAGTTCCCGATCCCTACCACAGTGCGACAACTTAAAGCATTCCTGGGAATGCTCAACTTTTATAGGAGACTAGCTGTGCCCCACGGTGTTACCCGCAGTTTATTAGGGATATTTTCCCGCAGTAAAACGTAGCTTATGTGTTAATACAGGGTGTCAGCTAACTCCATACCAAATTTTATTAAAATCACTCCAGCCGTTTAGACGTGAAGAAGTAACAAACATACACACTCACACACTCACAAATTTCGCCTTTATAATATTAGTGTGATTTCTTCCCCGAGCTGCAGAACTTCAAGCTCCTTTGCATGCATTGCTGTCTGGCTCAGTCAAAGGGTCTCAACCAATTAATTTGACAGGTGACGCCCTTACATCCTTTCACTCATGCAAAAACAGCCTTGCGAATGCTGCTTTATTAGCGTACCCTGACTGTGCTGCCAACCTTGCCTTGGTGACAGATGGATAAGAAAAGACTGCAGGGAGTGGGCACGTGCTTGTCTGTCTTGCCAGAAAGCTAAAATTACGCGCCATGTATCCGCACCCCTTAGCACTTTTGCATTACCCCGTGTGCAATTCAAGCAGATCCATATAGATCTGGTAGGTCCCTTACCTATTTCACAAGGTTATCGATATTGCTTAACCGCCGTGGATCGATTCACCCGATGGCCGGAAGCAGTACCGATAGAAGACATCACCGCGGAAACCGTGGCAAAGGCATTGCTGTCAACGTGGATTGCTCGATTTGGTTGCCCTACTCATATTACGACTGATCGTGGTCGTCAGTTCGAGTCGGCGCTGTTTGCCAGCCTATCCAAAATAACTGGTTTTGAGCATAAGCGGACTACTGCATACCATCCTGTATGCAACGGCTTGGTGGAACGTTTCCACCGACAACTTAAAGCCGCAATAGTCTGCCACGCAAATGACAGATGGACAGAGTCCTTACCATGGGTCCTACTAGGCATAAGAACCGCATTTAAAGAGGACCTGCAAAGTTCATCCGCTGAACTTGTCTACGGAGAACCACTCAGGTTACCTGGCGAGTTCTTTGAGCCTGCTACTGGTGGTACAACTGACCTATCAGAATTTTCTGCGCGCCTGAGACACATCGCTGACAAATTACGACCCACGTCCGCTTCTCGTCACGGTAGCTCGAAGGTGATCGTTTATAAAGAACTTGCAACCAGTGATCATGTTTTTCTTCGTGACGTGGTTCCTTACAACCAGCTTACTCAGGTCCTATCAAAGTACTAGCCAGAGGAGACAAAATATTCAAAATTTTCCAAAAAGGAAAAGAGGTCATAGTATCGATAGACCGCATTAAACCGGCCTTCATACTGACTAACCAAACTAATACCGACCCCTTACCAGAAATTAGAAAGGAGTATATTACACGATCCGGGCGGCAGGTGAAATTTACTGATTTTTATCGCCCGTGACGGTCTCTGGAGGGGGGTGGTGTAGGCTACTTTGAGGTGTGAATACATGCTCAAACTATATTTACACTGTACACACAAAACATAATTTAAATTTATTCATTATAAGGAAATATACAAAGTAACTTATATTTAAAACCGTAATACAAAATATTTTACACTATATATTTACATCTTATATCTAACAATATTTATTAATATCTAATATAGAATTTATAATAAGTACTATAATTATATTAACAATATGCTGTACTGGTTTGTCGATATATCGATAACAATTATCGACACGCCCTACGCACTAGCGGATAGTCTTGTACATAAT